TCTACCATTAGTCTTCCTATTTATAGCACCTCTATAAAAGTCTTGGTAATTAATTGGTAGAATTCTAGAGTTGAATAACTTTGGGAATGTCCTATTCATAGTCCTTAGTCGTGTAATTGAACAGTTGGCATGTATGACTTGTAAAAACAAATCAACTTTTTTCTGGACTGCAGTTGTACTTTATTTATTTATTTTTTTTTGTCGACACGGGGGTGTTCGGGTCAATCCTTACGGGTCCCGACTAATCCCCTGCGGCCCGGGCCTTGGCGCCCCAACCCGACCCAAGCACGGTAAGTGCGCGGAGGAATCCAGCAGCGCAGGGACTCGAACTTGGAACCTAGAGGTTTACCAGGAGGAGGTGCTGCCGCTGGACCATTCACGCGGGGGCGACTGCAGTTGTACTTGAACGAACTTATTTCAAGGTATATCACTGTTTGGTAGTTGAATATAAAAACTGGTATCCAAATGCTTAAGAATATTATATCTAACAATATAAAAGGAAGAGTTGGCTGAATGAACAGTAAAAGAGTGTTTCCGTTGGGTATTTCGGTATTGGTTGATGTTTTTGGGCTATTTCGATCCATTTGCATGTCCCTTGGCAGTTCCTCATGTGATTAGCTTTAGCCTTTGTACTTCTTCATTTTTAGTAATGTCATTTGCTATTTTTCCCTTACTCAGACGCCAGAAGATGCATGTTATAGTTGTGTGGTTCCTGTGTAATTTATTTGTTTTTTGTTCCTCTTTTGTTTGGGTCATTGTTGCCCTTGTGATCCGCAAAGATGGGTCACCGGTGGCAATGGGGCAGGGGTGGATCCCCCGTCCCCCGCCCCATTGCCAATTAATTACCCCCATCTCCCGCCTCGTCCCCCGCCCCGCCCCGTTTCTTCTGCGGGGGCACCCGTGAGGTTAAAAAAATTTATTATAATTAAATTTGAGCAAAAATAATCAAGTACTAAAATATCAACATATCACTAAATTATTATTCATTGTAACTTCACAATTGAAACTCATAAAAATAATTAAACAAAAGTTATTTGAATACAATCTAATATGATAAAAAATATATAACTAAAATAATCAAGTTTTCACTTTTGATACAAACACAATCACTAAATTATTATTATTATTTTTTAAAAAAAGTGTTATTGTATTAAGTGTAGTTAGGAATTTAATATAAATGTATTAATAAATTTAGTATAAATAATTAATAACTTTTATTAATAAACATGTATAATTAGTAGTATAATTGATAATATCATTATATATATAATTATGTACATATATATATATATTTTTTGTTTCAAACGTGTGGCGGGGCAGGGGAATATACCCCCGTTCCCCTGCCCCGTTTCTAAACGGGGGGGAGGGGGGAAATTCCCCCCCCCCGCCCCAATAGTCCCCCGCGGGGCGGGTGCCCGCCCGGCCCATTGCCACCCCTAACCTTAGCTATTCATGAGTATTAGTTTAGCCTTGGGTGTTGTCTTATTTTCCAGTTATGCCATTCATTTTTCCCTTCATTCAACATGTATGTTATATTTGCTTGGTCGCTTTGTAATTTTGTTATTTTTTTACCCTAATTTTTGTTGACTTGTTGTTTTCTTTTGTGGACCACACAGATGGGTCACTTTTTGATTCTATGCTTCTTTCAAAGCAGCATCTTCTTCATTGGAAAATTCTCATTTTGAGTTTGCCTTTTTTTGTTTTCCATTCATACTGTTGCAATGCTGATTGTCCTTTCAAACAACTCCAGTTTTGTTTGGATTTTGATATACAAGAGAAAAAAAATCACACAAGTTTACTTTAATCATCTATTTTATTCTGCGGAACTCTAACCCAATGATGCTGGTCATGTATTGCCAAACAAAAACAGCATAATCATCTTTCATTGCCAACACACATGCTGGGACATTAAAGTTGAAGATAATTTTCGAAGCTTTGGTTGGAAAAAAATGCTACAATACCATGTTATTAGTCCAGGCTATATTCTCATAATTTCTCATTTAGGAATGAACGAATATCGGATGCACATTTTTTATGACGAACTTGTAGAAGTTCTTGCAATATAAAATAATAACCATAAAAATTACACTTTCACTGTTCAATACTATACTCATATTCTGCTACTTCAGCACATATATGCTATATTTTTATTAACATTAAACTACATTTTATACAATAACCTACCAACAATTCTCTCCAATTATCCTAATTTAATAAAAAATAACTAGCTCACAATTATTTTACATATTATAAAATTATTTCCTACATCAATACTTACAAAACAAACTTTACAAAATATTTTCAGACAAACATACCATTAACACGGGTCACATATGCTCACCCTGTGCGTAGCGCAGGCTCCAGACTAGTAGAAATTATATTGAAAGTCAACTAGCAATATAAATTATTGCTTCAAGTCTATTTGCTTTAAAACATTAATCATTTACGCATACATTAAGAGATCATAATTCTTTCTGGCTGCGTTTTGATTTTAAAAGCATGGCTTTGACCTTTCTGTTCTTAATTGTTGCTTGGTTCCTTTAAATATTCTCTTTTACATCATTTGTTCTCGGATCAGCATCTAGAAACTTGGATAGTGAAAGTTATATTGTACCAATGAAGTACAAAGTCCTCAATCAGGCAGTCTTCAAGATATCAGTGTTGAGTCGTTCACGTATTGATCAGTGTTGATTGTTCAAAGTAATATTTAACAATTCATCCTTTCTTTCTTCTTGTAATCCTCACCTTTAAAGGTTTGCGGAGTTGAAGACGGTGACGTACTAATTAACCAACTGCAAAGTCCAAAGACGTGTCTCTCTTGACTGACTGACTTGGTTTACATTTTCTTCGTTTATTACATTAATGACACGACCTATGTTTATTGAAGAAAGAGGAAGGTAAGTGCAAGAAGAGACATAATTTCATTTTCTATGTGAAGGATAGCATATTTCACTTTAACAAATATTTTGCAAAAGTTCAAAGGATTTGACTAACGGTTACATACTCTCGTTATAAGTGTTTATATTTTTACAAGTTTATAATTAATTCGGGAAAGCCTCTAAACCCTAGGATTGTAGTAACGGTAAATATATGTATTCATATAATAAGTTATGTGTAATTTAAATATACTAACGAGTTACTACTAGGCACCCATTAGAAAATCAAAGTTCAAATAATAGAAAATAATTTGTTTTTTCATTATCGAATCAAATAAGGATTTAGCCTAACATTTAGGACAAATAGTGGATAACATTTAGGACAAACCACAATAACAGTCAACTAATAGCAAAAAAGAAATTTTATCTAATGATACAATATTTTATATTCCTTCTCAAGTTAAATAGAGATTTAGCATGAAGAAATTACTAAAGTAAAGTATTGATTTTAAAAGGTAGGATATGGGGTGTATCTGATTGGTGAAAAAATCAAGCTTTACTTTTGCTTATGGTGTTAGTTACTAACTACTAGGATTAGATTCCGGAGGTTGAATTTGATAAAGTTTTTGTGCTTACGCCCTGTTTGATAACCCAATTCTACATTTAAATTTAATAGATTCAGATTTTAACATATTTAGATGCACTTAATAACTAAAAATTGAACATCTGAATTAATTAATATTAAACAAAACTTGCTTCCAAAAATAAATGATAAACTATTTACTTATCACTTATTATGATATATATTCAAATGTATCAAATTAGTACTTAATAATTCAATAACTTAATGGATTCAAACTTTAGTTCTCAATTTTTAGTTTTCGACCTTCAGTTTTATCAAACACACTCTTAGAATTTGATCAATTAGAAGTGCCACGCTTTTCTAAGATAATTGCCCATTAAAACTGCTAATTTACTGGTTTCCCTAGTTAGGCACATAATGAAAATGAAAATGGCAGAAGAAAATTTTTGAAGTACCATAGTGCAACTACTAGCATGACTATCAATAATCTCCATGTAATTAGTTGAAACATAGGAAAAAATACAGAGAAGATAGCACTTATGAACAATTTTAATAACCAGGAAAAAAATATTCATTTTTCTTTTTTGCCAATTTAATAATTGTTTGACCAGTTCAAGATTTTCGCTTATTTGCTAAATTAATCGCTCTGAACTAACAACCAGAGAGTAAATTGACTCTTTCAGGTACCAATGGTTGCTTGATTTAGAAATCAATACTAAATATAATTCTCTTTCTTGCTTCTTTTGGCTTTTGATATCTAAAAAATGAAAACCTAGATAGCTGAAATTGATATTGTCTGCTAAAACCGAAGTGATTGGTTGTATTTATTAGCACTAGGAATGGCATTTCTTCTCAAAATTGTTACCTTTTTGTTTAACGTTTGTTACCTACATTATTCATTGGATGTCATTTGCAGACATGATTTCCAAAAGTCCAATTTAAACTGCATTATTGACTCAATCGAATATTAGAATAGGCAAGGAGCCCCACACCTAAAACACAGTGGGAAGACTCTAGCTTTTTAGTCTCCCATCTCAACTTCGAAGACTTAGCTTTTCAGTCTCCCATCTCAACCTTTTCCATCAATTAGACCAAGATGTCATTAGTCTTCTCAACGTCCTTTCCTATCAATTCTTAGGGGCTGCTGGGTTAAAGAGTTTGGAAATCACAAAATGGAATAAATCTTTTATTTGTTGTTTGGGTTAAGCCTATTGGAATGCAATTTTTGGAATCATTTCTACAAAATGGGACTTATCCCATTCCCGAACAAATTGGAAGGTTTTGGACAAAACCCTCAACTTATTCCCTCGGATAACATTTATGACGGACCTACCTATCACATACAAAACTCCTCTACCCTCTCTTTCTCTCCATCACACGCCGCTCTTTCTGTTCTTCTTCTTCATCAGTTTTCCTATCTCTTCTTCTTCATCATATAGTCTTCATCTGTAATCCAAAATCTCTTAAAAAAAAATCTAAAGTAGATCTAAATGGATTAATAGTGGGTAAATTGTTCAACAAGATCTCCACAAGAAAGATCTCTAAGAAAAATTGAAGAAAACCCTCCACCCAAATCCAAGGTTCCAAAATATTGAAGAAGAAATGGTGCAGATGCTGCAAATAGCCATGGCATGTGTTGCCAAGGTGCCAGACATGCGACCAAACATGGATGCAGTAGTTAGGATGATTGAAGAGGTCCGGCAATCTGACTCGGAGAGTCGGCCATCTTCAGAAGAGAACAAATCCAAGGACTCAACTGTGCAGACCCCCTGACTCCTTGGAGGCTCTCCTGAAAATTCATTTCTAGCTACATGTCTGACTTCTGGAAACTGCTTGGCATCTGAGGTAGCAGCTACATTACACCTCTCAAGCACTTTGACGAACATCTGAATGCCACCCTCCCTCAGCAACAATGGCTAACAAAGGAAAACTAGTGTAAGCTACATTTAATATATAAGCACTTTTGATCACAAAACTATGCAACAAGTCAAAAAGTCCTTCTGATATAACCTTTGCACGTGGATGTTCCAATAAAAGAGCAAGAAAATCAAGCAATCTGTAAACCTGGAAGGGAAAAAAACATAACAAAAATATGATAAATAAAGGGCCATGAGATTCACACTTGTCAAACTACAAAACAAGTGCATAAAATCTTTTTTAAGGAAAAACAAAATCAGAACATTAATGACCTTGTATGAATCAGTGTCTGCAACTGCCAATGGTCCAGAAAGTTGATTAGATATCCAAGATATCATAGGCCGCAAAAGAACTGAAGCATTATCAGTGCCATGGCAGGCAATACGAATAATGAAGACCCGAATCATGTCTTGAATTACAACCAATGTCTGTTTAATAAGAACCAAGAGTTAGAATCAAAGCGACTCAAACTTTTTCTCCTTCTAATACCCCTTTGTAAAGGAGCCACAGAGAGTATACATTCACGACATTAGCCCACAATTAACAAGGAATGCAGACTCCACTATGCACTAAAATCTGCCGGGGTAACAAGTTCAAAAATAAGCACATGTTAAACTGGGGGGCAAAATCACATACACTGATTGCACAATGCAGGATAACCTGCGCAACTTTGTCAAGCTGTGGCGTCAACTGACTTAGCAGCTTTTCAGATACTCCAGCCTGTAAGTACCAATCGATCTGTCTCTCCTTCTCACGTCCTAACAATGTTCCCACAGCAAATGCTCTGAGGAGACTTGACATTGGGATCCCATTCTTCCACAGCCAGACACCTTCCTCGGGAAATAGATCATTCTGAAATACAGAATATGCAGAAAAAAAATGAATTTTTTTTCATACATAAGCATTACAGAAAAAAGAATTAAAGAGAATGCATTTGGTAACATTCCACTCCAGAAGAATATAAAATTAGAAAGTTACTAACCAATAAGCAAAACAAACTACAAACTTCCTTGGGACCAAGCGCCAGTGATGAAGTTGAATGAAGATTGTCAAGTAGGAAGAGGAATAAGCCAGGAGTCCAACCATACACAGGCCAACAGGCTAGAGCTGACACAATAAGATGGCAAACAGCTTCCAACCCAAGGGCTTCCGGATAAGGAGAGGACAGGTCGAATGCACACGCAGCCAATCTCGGACTGCAAATGAAGGAATCAATAGATTTTATTCAGAAAAGCACAATGACAAGTAATCGGAGAAAGATGACATGAACCAGGCTACCTCACTTCTCGATGCAACTGTAGAAGTGCATTAATTAGTTTTGTATTCCTGTGCTGCTCCTTTGCTTCCTGTACATGCGGCAAAAGAAATACCTTACTGGGAAAAACATGATATCAAGCAAAATCAAAGGAAACATAAGAATTTATTGCTTAAATAATCCAGAATTTATTCATCAAAATTCACGTTCCCACATTATCTCAAAATTATCACTTCCTACTTTCTGTTAAATAGCCTCAATTACCCAGAAAATCCAAATCATACCATGCACTTGTGAAATCCAACTCAACAGAGAACCTGGGTGAAACTATCTTTACACGCACCTGCAATTTCTGCAGCAAATTAATCAGCAGTACCAAAGAAGGTATCAAAAGATCAACAATGCTTTGTTCACGGTTGCGTTCCAGCAATAAATCTGAAGTTGAATTGCATTCAGTACCTTCATCTACAAGGTAATCTGTGGCAGACATTCAAACAATTCAACAAAATTAAAGCATTTGGAAGAACAAAGATGACTTGCTACAACACAAAAGAAACTCATCAAATATAAATAAAGGAATATGCAAATTAATCACTAACACACCAACTCCAATACAATGGAAATAAAACCCTCACAAAAAGATAACTTGAATCCAAATCGAAAAGAAAGATTCGCTAAGGTTCTCCCTCAAGGATCTCAAAGGATTCTGTTCTCAAAATTTTCCTCTTTCCACAAACGTGTGGCGACGTAAAACCATTTTTTGACCACACTATAAGACTAGCCAGATGGAGGAGGAAGAGGTTCTTGCTATTTACAAGTGGCCTAGTATGAGCAGAATTCTTGGAGAAGCCAGCATCATCTGTTGGTGATTCACATGTGAACTAGAATAGATTATCTATTGGTGATTCACCATATCTCGTGGCAATTAAACTAGCGAAAACATCAATCCTAACGCGAGGTAAAAAATGACCAATCCCAAAAATTGGAGCTCCTTTGTCACTTCACATGAAAGGCTGAACGGGCTTCAGCATGTGCTATCCTTAAAGGATTTCTAGCTTGGTATTGGTTGCCTTTTTTCTTAATGGTTTTCTCTTTGAGGATTGCTTGGGTATAGCTGGGCAGACTAATGGTTTCTTCAAATAGAACAATTTTGTCTGGTATACTCAAATGATTCCACTTTTTCTGTAGAAATCATGTACAAAAAGGGATGCACTCCCTTTTGGCATTCTAGAGATTGTCAATTTTATTGGGAAAAAAAATACAATATAACACCTAGAAAGACAGCAGTGACAAAATGTACATGACCTCAAAGATTTGTAAGAGTCAGAAAACAGCATAAAGTAAATGCATGAAGAACTTAGAGGACAATATCTTGATCAACTCAAAGAGAGTATAATAAAACCAGAAGCACTTTAAAACAGACAGAAATGAGAAAAATAAGCAGCACAGAATTGACTCAATATAGCAATGCAGGAGAACTCAAACCACCCACAAACTCATTTAAACCAAACAAACCATAAATATTGCATGAAATCTTGGGAAATAGAAAAAAGCTGAGCAAGGAATTCAAAACAATCAAATAACTCATGCTCAGGGTCAGCTAACATAAATTTCACCATCAATTCAAGTGTCCACTTTGATTTCTTAGAGGTACAGAGAAAGGTGGCATTGCCTCTAGCAGTTCTGATGCAGTTTGTTGGAGAATACAGTCATATAAACAACAGTACAACACACAGCAAGTGAAGATTATAACTTCTTATAACAGGAGCTCAGAATAAATCAAGTTTTAAGACTCTTTACAACATGTCTATTCAAAATCAGCTCAGGAAGAATTCAACTAGCTTGCAGTGATTTCCTTTTCCCACCCAACAGGAGCATACTTCTCCAGATTGGTTTTATCATATAGGTTTACAAAGCTTAAAAAATAAGATTACAAGAAAATTCTAGTGGCTTCATAAGAGTTTATATGGAATGTATGTTACACAAACAAAGGAAGCAATTAAAGAGAACTAGTAGTGTAAATAAGTAATCACCAAATCCTCCAGGTATATAGAAAATTCAAAATTGAATAACTGAAGAACAAGACTCGTGCTCACCATAAATGTTGGAGGACCTCTCCAGCAAGACTTTACAGTTAATTAAAACAGCATGGATAACCATTACAGCGCCTTCATCATAAAGTACAGCAGAAATAGCCTTCACCAATCACACAATAGTTAAGACCCTACAAACTTCTACAAATATCACTGCAGAAAAGAACAAATAGGATAAACAAATAAACTGTCTGTTACCGAATTATCTGAAATGAATGCCAGAATCCGGAATGCTGTAGTCAGCTGAACGATAGAAGAGTCACGAAGTACGACACCAGGAAAGTCCTTATCAGTTATGCGTTTTCCCAGAAGGTTATCAATGACGTTACCATCAGAACTACAAGGAGCTTCTCCGACAACATTTTCTACATCCATCATATCAGATCCAAAAATGCTTGTTGACGCCATATGTGCATCTCCTCCAGAAGCTAACAAAGCAACATAACGCAGAAGCCCAATAAATCCATTTCTGTGGTATACTACACCAGCATCAATCCATTCCAGAAGCCTTGCAGGAGCATCTTTTCTATTGGACCCAGGAGAAGAGGAGTGTAACACCCGATGAAGTTCATTAGCCTGGTCAATCCAAGAACCCAAGGAAGATGAAGTTGAATCAGTAACAATGACTTCAAAAATCTCTGCGGCAGCATGGAAGATTGCGACATTTAATGGTGAAGATCCTGCAAACAAGAATGCCAGCCATCTCTTATAATACTTCTATAGAGATCAATCATAAAACTTCCAACCATAGAAAAGTCAAATACCAGAATTCATGGAAACTGGATCCAACTCCTTTAAAGAATGTAATGCAGCCGTCAAAACTGATAGAGCCTAAAGAACAACAACAATTTCCATTAGACCTAAAGAATAATTCAGCAGCACACGACATAGAATATTGGAATGCATGAGAGATTCAGGAGTAAAGATGTGCAATTCTGACAAATGAACGCTCATTCACCTGAAAAGAAAATGCGAAGTAGTTTGAAGATTTATTCTCATCATCAACAACAAAATTTATGGTTGACTTACTCTCATTATCCAACTAAAAGCATCACTTAAGGGAAAAATCATGCAGGATGAGTGACTCAATGGAAGTTATGGGAATAATTTGAAAACCTAAAAATGTAAGGTAGGGTTTGTTTAAATTGTGATAGCATGTACCTCTGGAAAATGTATCAAAGCCAACAAAGCCTGGCGTCCACAATCAGACCTGCATATCAGCATAAGTATTAAAAATGTACCCCGAGTTGTGAATTATCAGCAGAAAAGCAGCTAAAACCCAACATACATACCGAGAAAGACCGCATAGCTCCCACAATATCCACAGAAATTCTTCAGTGTTTGGGGTAGATGTGATTAAATGATCTATAGCAACAATCTACAATAAAGGCATTTTGGTCAGCTGAATGCAGCATCTAAAGATCAACAGTTGTCCAAGAAAAGAAAAACAAAAAGCGTACATAAATTTTGGGGGTTGTTTGTTTTGGTGTTTGTGGGGGGGGGGGGAGGAGGGAGGGGAATCTGGCTCCATAATTTCAAGAATGCTACAGGAAGAAGGAAAAGTCATTGAAGAGAGCCAACAACATAGTTATCTCAACTAAATGGAACTTACAGCCTTCAAATGTGTCTCAACGATAATTCCAACTTCCTGTGGATGACAAAAGAATCCCCTAGATATCAAGGCGGATGCATAGCGTAAAGAAGCCGATTCTTCCTTATTCCAATCATCTGTACCCCTTAGGCCACGAATTACTGTAGTTGACACTTCAGGATCACATAGAAGAAAAGTCAACCCTGAAAGTGAGAGATGAAATGCATATAAATCCAAAAGCGCTGAAAGAATTGATGAATACATCTACGGATAAATTGCTTCAGTCACCGTACCTGAGCGGCTGAAGAGGAGTGAAAGAATAATTGCCTCAATGTATGACACAATATCCATAAACAAGTCCACTACACGCCCTGTCTCTGTACGTAATATAGAACACGAAAGAAAAGCTGCAGACAAAGGGAGAAAACCTCTCTCCTGGTAACCAAGACAGCATAAGCACAGTAGAACAGGAACGAAAATTACATAAATTACAAAAGAGAAATAAAAAGGAAAGACAGAAAGACGCAGAAGCCAAAAAGAAAAGCACTTATACATGCCCTGCACAGTTTCTTGCCAGTAAAGAATATCAACAGCAGAAATCTATAGTCAGTCTGAAGAAACATGGGGGGAGAAGGGAAAACATGACTATTTACCTGTAAACATTGATAGAAATTACAACTGATTGTAAGACAGGTCTTAAAAGGACTCGAGAATCTATCTTTAATAGCACTTTTATTAACAAAAGTTAATGCAGAATATTACAAAAAATATTTAAGCGGTCTCACAAAAGGTCGACTTGTTGGAAGAAAATAATGCTTTTAAAAGCACAGAATAAGAAGTCATGTTCATTCTACTAAACACGATATCCCCCCTTGAACCCATTCTTATTTGTGGAACAAGAACGAAGACGCAAAATACTATACTAAATGATCTGATGATCAGCATTAAGTCCTAAAGAAACAGCAAGATTGACTCATATACAACACATACAAGAGGGACCGGAGTCCGTTCTCTTTCCAATATACGCACTCAGTTGTATAGTGAGATTGCACTAGTTAGGTTACAAGCAAAAGGAGCAGAGAATTGGTGCTCCTGCTCATGCATCACCTTGGCATGGTATGCATTATATCAAGTGCAATGTATATAAAATGGGTGTGATTCACTCAGTAATGCTTAGATAAATCTTGAATAGAACACATTTGAACTGGAAAGAAACAAGAAATGAGATGTGGAAAACAGATTGGTAACCCTACTTTGTTAAAGGTGATAAATTTGGTACAATGAAAGAGGCAGCTAGAAGTCTTTGCCATAGCATTCAGACACAAAGCATGATACACAAGGGAAAAAGAAACTAGACCCCCAGAATAGGCTCAAGCTCCTCTTAAATCAGCTTTGTTCGAATTTTGTCCATTTGTAAAAAAATAATAATAAAATGGCTTGTCAATTTGCAGTCCATTAAACTGCAGGATCTATTTGATCAACAGACCAGGTGAAACGAACAAGTAAATTTTGCCTATTTCTACAGCAGTCAAGACTGTACTTCCACGTCAAAAGATTTATAGAAATTATTACTGCAGTTATTAGGAATGAAAAGGTCAGGTTTCTAACTTCCAATTTGACAAAATCATATCTTCAATCCCCATTTCAGGCTTTCTACACTTAACAATTTATCAAAACCTACTATTTATTTCAATTGCAAAAGTAGGCTGTTTGACACGGCTCATAAACTCAGATAAAGCAAGCTCACTCCTGATTAGCTATATATGTCCAAGCCCGATGTATTCATGTTCAAAGCCAACATTGAGCACACCAATAATCAGTTTGGATTGGTTCATTTTCAATCCCTACTATAGCAAATGTTTTCAAACACCATTAATATACACAAAAATAGTCATATCTACTCAGCCAGAACAACCATTCAGGTTTTATAACCTTAGTTCCAACTCAACCCCTGAACTTTGTCAAGATATTGACCAATTAGCCATACAAGTGGAATGGACCCCTTACCCCAACCAAGAACAATAAACAATATAATGATTCTCACTTCATAAATGAGGTCTTCGAGTCATTTGAAATGGTAAACACCAGTAGGCAAAATTTAAATTGAGGAAAAAACTGTCCCTAAAATCTTCCCAAACCCTCCTCCTTCCCCTTCACCTCCTCAAACAGCCAAATGGGACAAATTAAAGGAGACAACAGACAGCTTGCAAACAAAAACAGCAACATTTACTGAAAAATCATCAATCAAATTAAATTGGTTGTATACAAAAAGAATCTCATCAAACTCAGAAAAAGATTTGTATTTCCAGCAGACACGCAAACCGGAACAGTAAACTTGCAAACAAATTGTCAAAAGGGGGAAAAATAAACAGAAAGTAATGGTAAAATCAACTAAACAAGTACCTTAAGCAGCAGAAGCAAATGTGGATCAGTGTCCCACTTTGAAAAACAACAATTTGACTGGTTAATAAAGGTGCTAGTTGCTTTATATGACAATGATCCAACATCACATGGAATCAAAGTGCTGCTTGCACGAGCCACCAGAGAAGGATCTTCAATTGGGCCATGGAAGTTTATTAATTTCTGCAGCAGTACTTGTCAAATATATGAACAATGAATTCTTCATTACACAAAGATAGGTTGATAATTATTTTACAAAACTTCTTATAATTAGTCTGGCTGATCACAAACTAGTAATCTCATTAAAATATATAATAAATAAACAGCTTGAAAGACTTACAGTGAGCTTCTTGAGTTGGAATTTAGCTCCAGTAAGCATGTCCAAAGTGACACTTGTAATATGACCTGCCGTGGAAAGACCTCCAAGAACAGATAATACTGCACACTACCAAAATGAAACTGAAACTGAGTTCTTCACATTTATTAGCCAAATAGATATAAAAAAAAATTAACATCAACCATGTGTCTCCTCCCAAAAGAGAGGACAGAAGAAAGAAATTTCATTGCACAAAACAAAGTGAAGTGTCTACCTCATATCTAGATGCAACTTCATAAAAACGCAAACGATTAAGTATGTAAGTAGCAAGAGAAGCAACATCATGGCGCTGGTTCTGCAACAAAAACTTCAGTAACTGATTGTAGCCTTCACTGGTGCCAGGAGGGACACTTTCGTCTTCCCGAGGCCACCAGCCAAGGAATCCTTCACAGCCAATTGAGTGCCGAGTAGCTTGCTCAACAACAGCAAGTGACAACAACTTAAGAGTAAGAGAGTTTTGAATGACATGATTGAGAACACGACCAAGCTTCTCCATACCACCACTACTAACAAAGTGAAAGCAGCTCTCTCGACCAGAGCACAGCAAAAGAGCTACACTAAGCCACAGTACGGCACTCTTATGCTGAAACTCAAATTAAAACAAAAGGAAATAGAAAAGATGTCAATAATGTGTGATGATTCATCATCATCATTGACGTATTTTCACTAAAATTTCATGAAAGAAGCTAAAGAAGAAGGAAAAGTGACTCTAATCACCTTCGAACGCACAGGATTTGCAGCAATTTCATGGTTACTACCAAACTTAAAGTATAAGCTCAACAAGTCCACCAGTTGTTTGGAAGTAGGCATATCAGCCTCAGATTCAAAAGACATATTCTCGGTTGAAGATTCAGCAGGGAAATACCCTCCTTGCTTAAAGCTTTTATAGACATCCATAAGTTCCTTTCTAGCTTCATTAAGGACATCATCAAATCCTCCATTATCTCTGAATTTATCCATCCCAACATGTTTCTGATTGATAATAGTAGAATACAAGTTAGGAGTTGCATGTACTAGGGCTGCCGATAGCATTGAACTAATAACGGTATCTGTAGCAGCTCCAAGATTCTGAGACTCCAAAAGCTTAAACATCAGTTGTAAAAACTGCTTGTGTTCGACAGGAATATCAACTCTTGCAACTTTGAAAGATAACTTATTCAAGGTAGATAGAGATTCCTCAATTGTCAAATTGGTTGGGCAGAGTGCAGGGGGAAGGTCTTCAAGGTCTCCCTCAATTGCACTAACAGTATGTGTCAAAGAGCTATCTAGATCAACTTCTATGTTAAACTGACCTAAATCTTCTGCTGTATTCCCATATATGACCAAGCTTAGGCCACGATAGCTGCCTCTTACAACCAAATGACTAGTTACCATAGCCTGCAACAAGTTGCACTTCTTTCAACAACACTTTACAGAGGAGATTGAAGACAAAGAAGAAAGGTAAAATAGTATAACAAGCACAAGTAGACATGTAAACCTGCAGCACATAAATAAGACTTCATTTTGACCCTGACTAACCTTGGGTCCGTTTGGATACCATAAATTGGGGGAAAATTTTTCAAATATTATTTAGCTTACATCATAAACACAACTTTCAACCACCTTTTTATCTCACAAGGAAGAAAGCTCTGAACTACTTGCAAGCACAGCTGAGTCAAAACCACTGGAAATCTTGTTTATGAAGCTCTTTGAATCATCTGACTTATCAGGAAATTTTTTATCTGAAGAAATACTTGGTTCTCGAGCCAATGACCCTCTGGACGAGAAACTGTCATCATTGAAGAAAATTCACTGTTTGTATTCTCATCCATATTAGAAGCCAATTGTGCATTTAGGTTAGAGTCACTCTCTGTCTCCTCCACTATCGAGTGAGGAGAGCTTTGCTCAGCCACAACAGGTGCAGGTAGTGGCAGATTATCATCTGCCTGAGGAAAAGGCAACTTCTCATCAGGTTCAGATTCCTCAGCATCAAAAACGATATCAATTCCCTGAAGATCATCATCAAGGTCAGGTTTCAGTTGCCGAGATTTATTGGACTTCTCTGCATCTTTATTGTTTTCAGGAGCTGTTCTTTTCACTTGTGCAGTTGCATCAGCAACTGCCATTCCCACTGGATGTTGGCGGTCCCTTTGTCTGGCCATGAATTCATCAACATGAATAGACGGAGGTCTCCCACTAGAGGATCCTATGCGTGGAATAGCAATTACATTTGGATTATTGTTACCATCAGCATTTCTTTCCCTAGCAACATAGTCATCCACATGCATAGAAGGAGGTCGGCTGGTATTGGGCTTGCGCTGCCGAAATGTATCCCTTCGAGTCGGACCAGAAGTAGCAGGGGGAACTGAGCCCCGTGAAAATGAACTTTGAGCAATAGTTTCAGTCGAGGCATTATCAGCTCTGACACGCCTATTAGGCCCATCCAGTGAGGAAATCTTCCGCTTCATTGAAAGACCTGTCTGCGTCAATCTATCACGCAAATTTTCAGGACATTCCCATAAGAATTTGTCTCCAAATTCACCTAAATCATAGTCCTCAATCCTTTCAGCACCACTATCGGCAATTCTGTATCCTTGTAGAAACTGATGCAGCAATTGATGACGAGGGAAGGATACTGGCCTTGATATCATCGACCTTTACTGCATGAGTAGGCTTTTGCAACATAAGTAATAAAGAGCTTGCAGATTCCATTACCTGCACAATAATGACCCAATACAAGAAGGAACAGTAGTTCAAAACCCAACAAAGATATATCACTACTCAAGAATGCAGAATGAAAATCTGGAATTATGAAAAGAAGCTGAATAATCATCACTTGCCTCTGGCTCCAATATATTTGCAAGTTCATGAAGTGATTTCATGCTTTCGTCAAGAAAACTATCTGTACCACACCCATCCTTCTCAATCCCAAAAAGGAACTTAGTTGCAGTAATTCTCTCCAAGTTCAGGCTGAAAGTGCCCAAGTAGATATTAGTGTATACCAAGTGACATAATGCAGAAAACATTTAAACAGAAACTAAATCTGGAAGTAAAAATTATTTATTTAGGCAAAAATATAATACTGCTACCAGCTGCTATCAGACAACAGTAAATGAAGGCCCAAAATTCGGAGTTTTTGGGATCTAGCATAGAACACACAATGTTTAACCTCATTCTGATACTTTAATACATAAACTTGTCAATCCTCAGATTTTGCTACTCGAAGAACTAATGTCATCAAGAATGGAGCAAATAAAAAATATAAATAAATTAAAAGGAGGAAATCCTCTAAATAGGTACAACTTATGATGCAAAATCTCAGAAAAGAAGGGCTCCAAGACCAAGGAGGTTAGCATTCGTGTAGCACTTATGAAACTTTTGTTCATCCCCAACCACAACATTATAAAATTAAAGCAGTGCCATACCAAACTTAACAACTCTAAACCTGATGCAGAACAGTAGTAGGTCAGCTACTCCTCACCTGCTAAAACCCCTGATAAACTGTTAAAATTGCGGTAAAGTCATCAACATGCATAAATTAGAACGAGATGACATATCCCTCAACTACCTAAATTGCAAATGATCTTGGACTGAGGACAATATTCAGTACCACCAATCGAGTTTCATTTCCTTTCAAGTATAAAGAAAGACTACTTAGATGCTGTCTCAAATTTAACAGCCTAAGATGATCTTGCTTTATCTTTCATGTCTTCTAGCATCTAATGTCCTTATCTACCAATTACTTAATTTATATTTTATTTATAGAACCACTAAGCTTTCATGGCAAAATTCCAACAGTATCAAAGTAGTTTATAACTTAAAAAGCCAAAGAAAAAGGAAAGAAAAACAGAAACAAGACCAATCAGATGAGTATGCAAAACAAGCAGGGTCGGCGACATGGTGAAGAAGTCGAAGAATTCACATATATACTTTAAATCTGTGACCATATGGTCCAAATCTATCCTCATCGTAAGTATTTTAATATATAGAAAGTTTAACACATGATAGTGTGGTCAAGAGTCTTTGCCCATTGCTTTAGGAAAATATGTACAGAGAATAATTTGCCCTTTTTTGCATCTTCTACTTTTATTTCTTTAACAAAATTAACAGCAATAACCATAAATTGAAATGACAAATCAAGCTTCAGCAGAAAAACAAATCAAGAAAAGCAAAAAGGTATGGATATAACAAAGTAAAAAAAAATAATTGAAGAAATAAGAGCAAGACCTTTCTCTCTCCAAGCAGAAGAGTAAAGCACCAGAGGCCAATAGGCCAATGGTCTCAACAGCATATTCTGGCGAACCATCATTTGAAGCAATTGACATTAGCAGTGTACTCCAGCAAATTTGCAAAGGAGGACTCTCCCTCCATTCACAGGCATTAACAATCTTGAGGTCCCTATCATCAGCACGACTCCTCTCAACTGCAGAGTCCTCAAAAATGAATGGCTGAACTTTCAGAAAAATGGATAACAATGCAGATCTGCCTTGAGCAGAGGAACCCAATTCTTTGAAAGCAGATACACAGGCAAGTAATTCCTTTCCAACTGGCAAGACCTACAACACAACCCAAAGATCATTTCATGAAGTAAGATAAAACCACATACTAAGATTTGACAAAGTATCACAGAATCAGCACCAACTCAAAACCACTGTATGAGGCTTAGGATGCTAAGTGTGTTGAATATCATAATTGAATGCTTCATGCAAGTAAAAAGGAACAACTTCATATATATATTTGTCAAAACACCTGTAAAGACACAAGAACTACCAGAGCCTTGAAATCTACTTCAGAGAACAAAAGATTTTTGCATTGGAACCATCTAGAAGAATCCCCATATTCAGGAGCCACCACCCTCTATGAACGAAATACGATAAAAGGTGTAATAGAAAAAGGGGGGGGGGACAGAAAAAAGGTAGAGTTTAAACCAACCAGAAGCACAAGAGTGGACAAATATGGTAAAACAATTATTAACAATGGGAACATATGTGTTCAAGTCTAATGCTTCAGCCAGTTGAAGACATAGTTACATACAACATGCACACACAGAAGCAGGCAGGAAGGAAGCAACACAGGCATGGTCAAGATGCAGCAGAAAGTTTGCCCTGTTTGGTTTTTATGTTAAAAGAGAAGGGAAAAAAGAGGCACGGGATAAGGTTACAGTGCATAGTGCAAACTGAAGAAAAATGGAAGAGCAAGTGCGACTCAATTTAAAAAAAAAACAAAATTCACAACCAACAAGCCAAATACAGGAGAGAAAAAAACAAATTGATACGGCACAATTTGAGTTATAATGTTACACAGTTATATCCCCAACAAGATAACCAAATATCACGACACAGGATTTGCTTGTGGGAAGGCAGCACATTAAGGTCATTTTGGAATATCTGATTCTAGGAAGGAAAAGAAAAGTAAACCCCAAAAAACCTGTTTTGTTGATTAGGTTTCAAATGAAAACAAGAAGGAAAGATCATAGTAAGCCAAAGTAAGAATGAACATATGAATTTCAAACATAATTTAGAAAGATTGACAAAGGTAATGGAATACTCTAGTTCACTCACTTTTTCTTTTGGCAATTTCTTTCAATCATAGAAACTAATATCCAGATATGCACAATTGATTTTAATTATAGATAAGTTGGAAAATAGATCATCAGTAGAAGAAGCATTATGTGTAAAGGACAGGAACAGAGTTAATTAAGATCAGATGCATTCTGAGTACGAGAGACAAAATGCAGTTCTGCTGTTATCGTGATGCAAAAGTTTAGTTCAATACACTAGAAATAGTCAAATCCATAATTGAAGAGTGAGAACGCACAACAGAAACCCAAGTTGTTGTTTAAGGTTTTTTTTCACTTTTCTAAGTAGAGCAAATTCCTGTGAACTCTTTCATTTCATACAAGTGACTTCTTTACATGAGAAATTGAAAGCAGACTCCCCAGCTGAGTGCCTCCATGGAACCAAGAAGCGAAACAAATATTTTTCAGAAGGATCAAGCTTCTTGAACTAGATTTTGCTTTTAGACAGCTTCATTTATCTTCGACATTTTTTTTTCAAGTCTCACTTGACTGAAGAGTTGCCTGGACTGCTGAATACCTTTACAAAGTTCAAGATTGTCTCTTTTATTGTCTTATTACACGCAAGGAAGGATTAATTGACACAAAAAACAAATCAGCCAACTAGAAGTTCCAACAATATTACTGCACAGGTCAAGCTCTAGTTCTGAGAATGTAGCAGTGCATATTTACTTACACATGAACCAAATAAAGCAGCGTACCTTACACAAATTAAGGATATATGACAAAATCAGCAAACATTCCCCTGCAGTTACATCTTTAGGAATGTGCCTAGAAAACCACAAAAAACAGTCCACTGTAATCTGCACTTAACCAATTCACGCAGAGGGGAAGGGGAAAAAAAGAAATCAACTAACACTCAACATCAGATTACCTGTCTAGCATTACAGGGCGCGGCAAAGATGTCCGACAATCACACAGCAGTGAGATGGACTTAAATACAGGGATACACCAAGCAAGCCATGAAAATTCATTTCTAGCTACATGTCTGACTTCTGGAAACTGCTTGGCATCTGAGGTAGCAGCTACATTACACCTCTCAAGCACTTTGACGAACATCTGAATGCCACCCTCCCTCAGCAACAATGGCTAACAAAGGAAAACTAGTGTAAGCTACATTTAATATATAAGCACTTTTGATCACAAAACTATGCAACAAGTCAAAAAGTCCTTCTGATATAACCTTTGCACGTGGATGTTCCAATAAAAGAGCAAGAAAATCAAGCAATCTGTAAACCTGGAAGGGAAAAAAACATAACAAAAATATGATAAATAAAGGGCCATGAGATTCACACTTGTCAAACTACAAAACAAGTGCATAAAATCTTTTTTAAGGAAAAACAAAATCAGAAACATTAATGACCTTGTATGAATCAGTGTCTGCAACTGCCAATGGTCCAGAAAGTTGATTAGATATCCAAGATATCATAGGCCGCAAAAGAACTGAAGCATTATCAGTGCCATGGCAGGCAATACGAATAATGAAGACCCGAATCATGTCTTGAATTACAACCAATGTCTGTTTAATAAGAACCAAGAGTTAGAATCAAAGCGACTCAAACTTTTTCTCCTTCTAATACCCCTTTGTAAAGGAGCCACAGAGAGTATACATTCACGACATTAGCCCACAATTAACAAGGAATGCAGACTCCACTATGCACTAAAATCTGCCGGGGTAACAAGTTCAAAAATAAGCACATGTTAAACTGGGGGCAAAATCACATACACTGATTGCACAATGCAGGATAACCTGCGCAACTTTGTCAAGCTGTGGCGTCAACTGACTTAGCAGCTTTTCAGATACTCCAGCCTGTAAGTACCAATCGATCTGTCTCTCCTTCTCACGTCCTAACAATGTTCCCACAGCAAATGCTCTGAGGAGACTTGACATTGGGATCCCATTCTTCCACAGCCAGACACCTTCCTCGGGAAATAGATCATTCTGAAATACAGAATATGCAGAAAAAAAATGAATTTTTTTTCATACATAAGCATTACAGAAAAAAGAATTAAAGAGAATGCATTTGGTAACATTCCACTCCAGAAGAATATAAAATTAGAAAGTTACTAACCAATAAGCAAAACAAACTACAAACTTCCTTGGGACCAAGCGCCAGTGATGAAGTTGAATGAAGATTGTCAAGTAGGAAGAGGAATAAGCCAGGAGTCCAACCATACACAGGCCAACAGGCTAGAGCTGACACAATAAGATGGCAAACAGCTTCCAACCAAGGGCTTCCGGATAAGGAGAGGACAGGTCGAATGCACACGCAGCCAATCTCGGACTGCAAATGAAGGAATCAATAGATTTTATTCAGAAAAGCACAATGACAAGTAATCGGAGAAAGATGACATGAACCAGGCTACCTCACTTCTCGATGCAACTGTAGAAGTGCATTAATTAGTTTTGTATTCCTGTGCTGCTCCTTTGCTTCCTGTACATGCGGCAAAAGAAATACCTTACTGGGAAAAACATGATATCAAGCAAAATCAAAGGAAACATAAGAATTTATTGCTTAAATAATCCAGAATTTATTCATCAAAATTCACGTTCACATTATAGCCTCAATTACCAGAAAATCCAAATCATACCATGCACTTGTGAAATCCAACTCAACAGAGAACCTGGGTGAAACTATCTTTACACGCACCTGCAATTTCTGCAGCAAATTAATCAGCAGTACCAAAGAAGGTATCAAAAGATCAACAATGCTTTGTTCACGGTTGCGTTCCAGCAATAAATCTGAAGTTGAATTGCATTCAGTACCTTCATCTACAAGGTAATCTGTGGCAGACATTCAAACAATTCAACAAAATTAAAGCATTTGGAAGAACAAAGATGACTTGCTACAACACAAAAGAAACTCATCAAATATAAATAAAGGAATATGCAAATTAATCACTAACACACCAACTCCAATACAATGGAAATAAAACCCTCACAAAAAGATAACTTGAATCCAAATCGAAAAGAAAGATTCGCTAAGGTTCTCCCTCAAGGATCTCAAAGGATTCTGTTCTCAAAATTTTCCTCTTTCCACAAACGTGTGGCGACGTAAAACCATTTTTTGACCACACTATAAGACTAGCCAGATGGAGGAGGAAGAGGTTCTTGCTATTTACAAGTGGCCTAGTATGAGCAGAATTCTTGGAGAAGCCAGCATCATCTGTTGGTGATTCACATGTGAACTAGAATAGATTATCTATTGGTGATTCACCATATCTCGTGGCAATTAAACTAGCGAAAACATCAATCCTAACGCAGGTAAAAAATGACCAATCCCAAAAATTGGAGCTCCTTTGTCACTTCACATGAAAGGCTGAACGGGCTTCAGCATGTGCTATCCTTAAAGGATTTTTCTAGCTTGGTATTGGTTGCCTTTTTTCTTAATGGTTTTCTCTTTGAGGATTGCTTGGGTATAGCTGGGCAGACTAATGGTTTCTTCAAATAGAACAATTTTGTCTGGTATACTCAAATGATTCCACTTTTTCTGTAGAAATCATGTACAAAAAGGGATGCACTCCCTTTTGGCATTCTAGAGATTGTCAATTTTATTGGGAAAAAAAATACAATATAACACCTAGAAAGACAGCAGTGACAAAATGTACATGACCTCAAAGATTTGTAAGAGTCAGAAAACAGCTAAAGTAAATGCATGAAGAACTTAGAGGACAATATCTTGATCAACTCAAAGAGAGTATAATAAAACCAGAAGCACTTTAAAACAGACAGAAATGAGAAAAATAAGCAGCACAGAATTGACTCAATATAGCAATGCAGGAAACTCAAACCACCCACAAACTCATTTAAACCAAACAAACCATAAATATTGCATGAAATCTTGGGAAATAGAAAAAAGCTGAGCAAGGAATTCAAAACAATCAAATAACTCATGCTCAGGGACAGCTAACATAAATTTCACCATCAATTCAAGTGTCCACTTTGATTTCTTAGAGGTACAGAGAAAGGTGGCATTGCCTCTAGCAGTTCTGATGCAGCTTGTTGGAGAATACAGTCATATAAACAACAGTACAACACACAGCAAGTGAAGATTATAACTTCTTATAACAGGAGCTCAGAATAAATCAAGTTTTAAGACTCTTTACAACATGTCTATTCAAAATCAGCTCAGGAAGAATTCAACTAGCTTGCAGTGATTTCCTTTTCCCACCCAACAGGAGCATACTTCTCCAGATTGGTTTTATCATATAGGTTTACAAAGCTTAAAAATAAGATTACAAGAAAATTCTAGTGGCTTCATAAGAGTTTATATGGAATGTATGTTACACAAACAAAGGAAGCAATTAAAGAGAACTAGTAGTGTAAATAAGTAATCACCAAATCCTCCAGGTATATAGCAAATTCAAAATTGAAACTGAAGAACAAGACTTCGTGCTCACCATAAATGTTGGAGGACCTCTCCAGCAAGACTTTACAGTTAATTAAAACAGCATGGATAACCATTACAGCGCCTTCATCATAAAGTACAGCAGAAATAGCCTTCACCAATCACACAATAGTTAAGACCCTACAAACTTCTACAAATATCACTGCAGAAAAGAACAAATAGATAACAAATAAACTCTGTTACCGAATTATCTGAAATGAATGCCAGAATCCGGAATGCTGTAGTCAGCTGAACGATAGAAGAGTCACGAAGTACGACACCAGGAAAGTCCTTATCAGTTATGCGTTTTCCCAGAAGGTTATCAATGACGTTACCATCAGAACTACAAGGAGCTTCTCCGACAACATTTTCCACATCCATCATATCAGATCCAAAAATGCTTGTTGACGCCATATGTGCATCTCCTCCAGAAGCTAAAGCAGCATAACGCAGAAGCCCAATAAATCCATTTCTGTGGTATACTACACCAGCATCAATCCATTCCAGAAGCCTTGCAGGAGCATCTTTTCTATTGGACCCAGGAGAAGAGGAGTGTAACACCCGATGAAGTTCATTAGCCTGGTCAATCCAAGAACCCAAGGAAGATGAAGTTGAATCAGTAACAATGACTTCAAAAATCTCTGCTGCAGCATGGAAGATTGCGACATTTAATGGTGAAGATCCTGCAAACAAGAATGCCAGCCATCTCTTATAATACTTCTATAGAGATCAATCATAAAACTTCCAACCATAGAAAAGTCAAATACCAGAATTCATGGAAACTGGATCCAACTCCTTTACAGAATGTAATGCAGCCGTCAAAACTGATAGAGCCTAAAGAACAACAACAATTTCCATTAGACCTAAAGAATAATTCAGCAGCACACGACATAGAATATTGGAATGCATGAGAGATTCAGGAGTAAAGATGTGCAATTCTGACAAATGAACGCTCATTCACCTGAAAAGAAAATGCGAAGTAGTTTGAAGATTTATTCTCATCATCAACAACAAAATTTATGGTTGACTTACTCTCATTATCCAACTAAAAGCATCACTTAAGGGAAAAATCATGCAGGATGAGTGACTCAATGGAAGTTATGGGAATAATTTGAAAACCTAAAAATGTAAGGTGGGGTTTGCTTAAATTGTGATAGCATGTACCTCTGGAAAATGTATCAAAGCCAACAAAGCCTGGCGTCCACAATCAGACCTGCATATCAGCATAAGTATTAAAAATGTACCCGAGTTGTGAATTATCAGCAGAAAAGCAGCTAAAACCCAACATACTTACCGAGAAAGACCGCATAGCTCCCACAATATCCACAGAAATTCTTCAGTGTTTGGGGTAGATGTGATTAAATGATCTATAGCAACAATCTACAATAAAGGCATTTTGGTCAGCTGAATGCAGCATCTAAAGATCAACAGTTGTCCAAGAAAAGAAAACAAAAAGCGTACATAAATTTTGGGGGTTGTTTGTTTTGGTGTTTGGGGGGGGGGGAGGAGGGAGGGAATCTGGCTCCATAATTTCAAGAATGCTACAGGAAGAAGGAAAAGTCATTGAAGAGAGCCAACAACATAGTTATCTCAACTAAATGGAACTTACAGCCTTCAAATGTGTCTCAACGATAATTCCAACTTCCTGTGGATGACAAAAGAATCCCCTAGATATCAAGGCGGATGCATAGCGTAAAGAAGCCGATTCTTCCTTATTCCAATCATCTGTACCCCTTAGGCCACGAATTACTGTAGTTAACACTTCAGGATCACATAGAAGAAAAGTCAACCCTGAAAGTGAGAGATGAAATGCATATAAATCCAAAAGCGCTGAAAGAATTGATGAATACATCTACGGATAAATTGCTTCAGTCACCGTACCTGAGCGGCTGAAGAGGAGTGAAAGAATAATTGCCTCAATGTATGACACAATATCCATAAACAAGTCCACTACACGCCCTGTCTCTGTACGTAATATAGAACACGAAAGAAAAGCTGCAGACAAAGGGAGAAAACCTCTCTCCTGGTAACCAAGACAGCATAAGCACAGTAGAACAGGAACGAAAATTACATAAATTACAAAAGAGAAATAAAAAGGAAAGACAGAAAACACAGAAGCCAAAAAGAAAAGCACTTATACATGCCCTGCACAGTTTCTTGCCAGTAAAGAATATCAACAGCAGAAATCTATAGTCAGTCTGAAGAAACATGGGGGGAGAAGGGAAAACATGACTATTTACCTGTAAACATTGATAGAAATTACAACTGATTGTAAGACAGGTCTTAAAAGGACTCGAGAATCTATCTTTAATAGCACTTTTATTAACAAAAGTTAATGCAGAATATTACAAAAAATATTTAAGCGGTCTCACAAAAGGTCGACTTGTTGGAAGAAAATAATGCTTTTAAAAGCACAGAATAAGAGTCATGTTCATTCTACTAAACACGATATCCCCCTTGAACCCATTCTTATTTGTGGAACAAGAACGAAGACGCAAAATACTATACTAAATGATCTGATGATCAGCATTAAGTCCTAAAGAAACAGCAAGATTGACTCATATACAACACATACAAGAGGGACCGGAGTCCGTTCTCTTTCCAATATACGCACTCAGTTGTATAGTGAGATTGCACTAGTTAGGTTACAAGCAAAAGGAGCAGAGAATTGGTGCTCCTGCTCATGCATCACCTTGGCATGGTATGCATTATATCAAGTGCAATGTATATAAAATGGGTGTGATTCACTCAGTAATGCTTAGATAAATCTTGATAGAACACATTTGAACTGGAAAGAAACAAGAAATGAGATGTGGAAAACAGATTGGTAACCCTACTTTGTTAAAGGTGATAAATTTGGTACATGAAAGAGGCAGCTAGAAGTCTTTGCCATAGCATTCAGACACAAAGCATGATACACAAGGGAAAAAGAAACTAGACCCCCAGAATAGGCTCAACCTCCTCTTAAATCAGCTTTGTTCGAATTTTGTCCATTTGTAAAAAAATAATAATAAAATGGCTTGTCAATTTGCAGTCCATTAAACTGCAGGATCTATTTGATCAACAGACCAGGTGAAACGAACAAGTAAATTTTGCCTATTTCTACAGCAGTCAAGACTGTACTTCCACGTCAAAAGATTTATAGAAATTATTACTGCAGTTATTAGGAATGAAAAGGTCAGGTTTCTAACTTCCAATTTGACAAAATCATATCTTCAATCCCCATTTCAGGCTTTCTACACTTAACAATTTATCAAAACCTACTATTTATTTCAATTGCAAAAGTAGGCTGTTTGACACGGCTCATAAACTCAGATAAAGCAAGCTCACTCCTGATTAGCTATATATGTCCAAGCCCGATGTATTCATGTTCAAAGCCAACATTGAGCACACCAATAATCAGTTTGGATTGGTTCATTTTCAATCCCTACTATAGCAAATGTTTTCAAACACCATTAATATACACAAAAATAGTCATATCTACTCAGCCAGAACAACCATTCAGGTTTTATAACCTTAGTTCCAACTCAACCCCTGAACTTTGTCAAGATATTGACCAATTAGCCATACAAGTGGAAGGACCCCTTACCCCAACCAAGAACAATAAACAATATAATGATTCTCACTTCATAAATGAGGTCTTCGAGTCATTTGAAATGGTAAACACCAGTAGGCAAAATTTAAATTGAGGAAAAAACTGTCCCTAAAATCTTCCCAAACCCTCCTTCCCCTTCACCTCCTCAAACAGCCAAATGGGACAAATTAAAGGAGACAACAGACAGCTTGCAAACAAAAACAGCAACATTTACTGAAAAATCATCAATCAAATTAAATTGGTTGTATACAAAAAGAATCTCATCAAACTCAGAAAAAGATTTGTATTTCCAGCAGACACGCAAACCGGAACAGTAAACTTGCAAACAAATTGTCAAAAGGGGGAAAAATAAACAGAAAGTATGGTAAAATCAACTAAACAAGTACCTTAAGCAGCAGAAGCAAATGTGGATCAGTGTCCCACTTTGAAAAACAACAATTTGACTGGTTAATAAAGGTGCTAGTTGCTTTATATGACAATGATCCAACATCACATGGAATCAAAGTGCTGCTTGCACGAGCCACCAGAGAAGGATCTTCAATTGGGCCATGGAAGTTTATTAATTTCTGCAGCAGTACTTGTCAAATATATGAACAATGAATTCTTCATTACACAAAGATAGTTGATAATTATTTTACAAAACTTCTTATAATTAGTCTGGCTGATCACAAACTAGTAATCTCATTAAAATATATAATAAATAAACAGCTTGAAAGACTTACAGTGAGCTTCTTGAGTTGGAATTTAGCTCCAGTAAGCATGTCCAAAGTGACACTTGTAATATGACCTGCCGTGGAAAGACCTCCAAGAACAGATAATACTGCACACTACCAAAATGAAACTGAAACTGAGTTCTTCACATTTATTAGCCAAATAGATATAAAAAAAATTAACATCAACCATGTGTCTCCTCCCAAAAGAGAGGACAGAAGAAAGAAATTTCATTGCACAAAACAAAGTGAAGTGTCTACCTCATATCTAGATGCAACTTCATAAAAACGCAAACGATTAAGTATGTAAGTAGCAAGAGAAGCAACATCATGGCGCTGGTTCTGCAACAAAAACTTCAGTAACTGATTGTAGCCTTCACTGGTGCCAGGAGGGACACTTTCGTCTTCCCGAGGCCACCAGCCAAGGAATCCTTCACAGCCAATTGAGTGCCGAGTAGCTTGCTCAACAACAGCAAGTGACAACAACTTAAGAGTAAGAGAGTTTTGAATGACATGATTGAGAACATGACCAAGCTTCTCCATACCACCACTACTAACAAAGTGAAAGCAGCTCTCTCGACCAGAGCACAGCAAAAGAGCTACACTAAGCCACAGTACGGCACTCTTATGCTGAAACTCAAATTAAAACAAAAGGAAATAGAAAAGATGTCAATAATGTGTGATGATTCATCATCATCATTGAAGTATTTTCACTAAAATTTCATGAAAGAAGCTAAAGAAGAAGGAAAAGTGACTCTAATCACCTTCGAACGCACAGGATTTGCAGCAATTTCATGGTTACTACCAAACTTAAAGTATAAGCTCAACAAGTCCACCAGTTGTTTGGAAGTAGGCATATCAGCCTCAGATTCAAAAGACATATTCTCAGTTGAAGATTCAGCAGGGAAATACCCTCCTTGCTTAAAGCTTTTATAGACATCCATAAGTTCCTTTCTAGCTTCATTAAGGACATCATCAAATCCTCCATTATCTCTGAATTTATCCATCCCAACATGTTTCTGATCGATAATAGTAGAATACAAGTTAGGCGTTGCATGTACTAGGGCTGCCGATAGCATTGAACTAATAACGGTATCTGTGGCAGCTCCAAGATTCTGAGACTCCAAAAGCTTAAACATCAGTTGTAAAAACTGCTTGTGTTCGACAGGAATATCAACTCTTGCAACTTTGAAAGATAACTTATTCAAGGTAGATAGAGATTCCTCAATTGTCAAATTGGTTGGGCAGAGTGCAGGGGGAAGGTCTTCAAGGTCTCCCTCAATTGCACTAACAGTATGTGTCAAAGAGCTATCTAGATCAACTTCTATGTTAAACTGACCTAAATCTTCTGCTGTATTCCCATATATGACCAAGCTTAGGCCACGATAGCTGCCTCTTACAACCAAATGACTAGTTACCATAGCCTGCAACAAGTTGCACTTCTTTCAACAATACTTTACAGAGGAGATTGAAGACAAAGAAGAAAGGTAAAATAGTATAACAAGCACAAGTAGACATGTAAACCTGCAGCACATAAATAAGACTTCATTTTGACCCTGACTAACCTTGGGTCCGTTTGGATACCATAAATTGGGGGAAAATTTTTCAAATATTATTTAGCTTACATCATAAACACAACTTTCAACCACCTTTTTATCTCACATACATCACATCACAAAAGTGCTATATAATATTCCATATAATTTTTTCCAAATAATCTCATAACCAAACACACCACTTCTTAATCCAGAATCAAAGAAAATATCATTTTCCATGAAACTAACAATATATTAGTTTCTCTGCTAAACTAGTTAATGCCAGATTGACAGCTTATAACTGCCCCTTTCTCTAAATGTAAGGAGTCCTCATGAAAAATGTACTATTTCCTTCACCATCCATTTCAAAATGGATGTTTTAGTTTGACTTGGCACCTACACTAAGAAATAATTAGAAAAGGTTACAGTATTCAAGATTACAAGCAGAAACATATTGGGCCTTACTGCAGTATTATGAATATAGTAATAAGAACAGCAAAAATTTTCCTTTTTTTTTGGTGGGGAAAGACGAGCTGCAGAACAGCATAATTTGAATTTCTCATTTGATGAAGATGGTGCAAATCTAGCACTTCGCAGAAAGTTAACTTGAACATTCATTCTTATAGATCAAGGTAGGACAACATTATTCTACTTAAATATTGAAAGCGCACTGCAAGATCAAACAAACAAGTTGCTAATTATTTCATTTAACCATATGAAATCTACATGTTGCCAACAAAGTTTGACATGAAACAAACCATCAAAATGGTTAATTTTCAACAGCAGAAATAGTATCCTACCAGCTTACCCCCGTTCGTCCATTGCAAGCTGAGTTCAAACTTCTACTATGTAAATAAGAGTCCAAAATACAATTCTACTCAATTTCTTTTACTTTATTACTGAAGAGAATATAATAGAAGATAAGTGACTCATATATAATGAAGAAAATTATTTTAAAGCTATTTAAAAAAAACCTCTAACTTTTGAATTTGTTGACCAAATGTGCAAAACGAGATGTCAACTCCAATCCATCCTAAAGCAGGTTACCACTTAGCCCTAATATGTGGCAAAAGATACATGTAGGCTAGAATATTCATCGGTAAACCCAAAGCCCAATCTGCATGAAAACTCTCACCAGTAATTTCTCATCACAAACAGTAAACATGCTCTGCAACAACTTCCTAATTATATGACATTAATAGAAAAGATAAACACCAATGCAAATAATACTGCCAACCACCAAAAATGAGCAGAAATTTACCTTTTTCTCCACATCATTGTTTCGTATTAGACAGCAAGGACTGCCTCATATGGCATTCATGACAAAGAATGCCTAACAATATAAAACAAAGCATTTCCCAAAAACTAACCTCAACTTCAAGCACATTTGAAGAAGAATGTGAATACAAAAATGGCTGACAAAGCCGCCTAAACCTTGTCTCTCCTTCACACTGAACAAAAACCTCCAAAGCAAAGGAAGGAGGAGAAGAGGTCCTGCACAAGGCAAAGAATAGATACAAGCAGATACTTTGAGCAAAAACACAGCATGTATGGGAAAAAATTCGTACAACTTCACAACACCAAGACTTGCAACCAGCAGTGAAACAAATATGGAACCTAATTTATTCACCAAAACAACAGAAAGGCCAAAAGTATAAGAGAAAAGATTCAACAATTCTAGTCTAGTTAATAAATAGGAGAATAGGACATGTCAGATTACTATGAAGTTTCCATCTAAGGGAATTATAGCCTGTCTTGCCAACTGATTGAGGATAGCAACCATGAATACCCAATTAAAACATATAGTACTATTTTTGTATTGTCAGCTTTAAGAAAATCAGCTATTTGTTCATCCTGTTTTGTTGCCTCAGTGCTGAAATAACTTAATTTTATTTATCCTGTGGTTTGCAGTGTATCTTTCTATCCATGTAAGAAAAATAAGTGGCAGCAAATAATATATGAAGCCATTTGGCTATTTTCTCAACTTTTGGCAACTAAGGTGACTGCATATGCCTTTGATTTGAGCATACACAAGATATTACATGATGCAACTATATTATATCAACAGACTACATTAGTTAGCTGTAATGCATCAAATCAGGAGATTTTTCACAGATTACTGTAACCCTATAATAAATCCTCCTCAATCTCCACAGTGTTAGCTTCAATTGTATATAAAGTTTAATCAAATTTCAGGTTCCCACTTCACAAATGATAAACAAGCTCTGTATACAGATTTGGCAATATTCCTCAGATTTGCTACATCCCTATCAATATGCTAGATAGGAGCCAAGAAAATACTAAGCCTCCAGAGGAACCAAACTGTCTGGTTCTCAAAACTAGTAAATTATCTGCAGCAATGCTTTTAGTCCAAGCCAAGTCACCAAATCTCTCAATTGATTTTGGAAATGAATTTCCCCGTACATTTATCATTTTAAGACTTTTTAAGTAGTACCTAATAAAACCAAAAGAATTTCTACAAACAAAAGCCCAGATAATATTCATTTAACAGGAACCAAGGCGGTCGACAATTATGGAGGAACATTAATACCATCAAGATATTTGTAAAGAATAAACCAGCTATCCAATTCCAACAAAACAAAACTCTCCAAGTACTAAACAAGGATCACAGTCAACTACATCATAAATTCATAAATTGGGGAATTAGTTAAAATATTATACCCATTTTCATGATTTTGCAGTGGCATTCTCTACATCAAATTACAAAGAATTTTTTACCCTTCCTCTACATATATGCCATGTGAAGAGGTCTTCCCAATTAAATTACATGTCAAACTTCATGGAAAATTGAATCACCACTGGCATCTGCCAACCATTTTAATCCTTGTAAAGAGTAATGCATAGACACCAATCAACCATTCTTAGGAATTAATCTAACCAAAGGTTCCTGTAGCAACATCCCAATGCAATATTACTTTTTTAGAAAGTAACTCAAATCTCCATTCTAAAGGCCGCAAAAATCGTGCAAGGAATGCATAACACTCTGTATTTCCAGAGCAAAGATTAATTTAATGCAAAAGGTGAGTCAACTCAGCAGATGATTATTGTAGAAATTGTTCCAAATATGGTTCCTTCCACCAAGATCCGATATGAAACTGTCATCTCTTGACTACAATACATGGCACCACAATCCACTTTCAACATACAACCAGACAAGCAGACATAGCTACTAGCATACAATCCACTTTCACGAGAAGGCAAAAGTAAAGGGGTCCTCAATTTATCAGCGTTGCCTATATCACATAAGAAACTAGAAATTTCTGGCTCTAACTGTGTTAAGTTATGCAGCTGTTCCCGAAACAAAGAAAGAGTTTTGAACTGAAAGCCTTGAATTCTTTTGATATCCTAACCTTGTTGTGTCAATAAATACATCTAACTCATCCCATTATGAACTTACACCAACATCTGAGATAAGTCAGCACAAGAAGTCAAGGACAAGAATGCAAATCATATCTCAACTAGTAGTTTCCCCTACAACACACTATCCCAAAAATGGTCAACCAGATTATATACTTCATTATAAGCATTACACTTAACAAACATTGTATGCATCATAAATTTTATAACAAAATAACAACCGTACCAAAGTTTAACAGTCGAACAATTGATGAAGAATTCTGTTCAAGAAACTCACAAGCAGTGACAACTACAGGCTCCGCAAAAAAACCTGGAAGGAAAATGAGGTAGATGGTAAGCTTAACACTTTAATAAAAAGGCAGCAGAACTGAAACTTAACACATTATACACCTGTTGAGCAACTAGAGAACCAAAGCATTCGAATTCTTTACCACCAATTAAGTTCAAAGTTAGAATGTAGACACTAAATAAAACCTCTGCACCATTTTAACTATGGTATTCTGATTCCTACAAGCCACAAATATCCTTTAGTTTTCTGACATAACATAGAAAGAACACCATCATTGAGGACACAAGTGCTAGAAATATAGAATAATTGTGCATAGAGATACAGAACCAAAAAACAAATTCAAGAACTAAAAGAGATAAACCTGCAAAAATCCCAACGGAAGAAAACTAAAGGGACGAAACAAACAGTAATGACAATGATGATAACCCCTACAGAAAAATGTTGTTTTGTCCCTCTTAAGTAATTGACAATATATTGTAAATCTTACTAATGACAGCAATACGTTGTTTTGCCCCTCTTAAGTAATTGATGACATATTGTAAATCTCAATGAACTTTCAACAATGTATATGAAGCAATCTGATTATTAAGCAAGAAAGAAGCAGCATGTTACTGCTTGCCCTTGCGTCCCAAAGCTTGAATATTTCATTGTAACCTAATTGCCTTTATCATTAGGCAAACATCCAAACTTTCGCTAACCAGTTTCAGAGCTCTATCCCTCTAATTATTGCAAACCGCATTCTTTAAAAAGGAATCTATTTTCATCATTGAGACCACGAAGATTGTTCCCAGCTAGGTGCCGCCCATTATCTCTATAACCCTATTCGGTTTCTCTAACAATGGCAACAAAAACTAAAGAGAAACAACATCTTAAAAAAAAGGTTAAAGTGTAACACTATGAGCAAAATCTTAAGACAATTTTAACTTAAAGACTATACTCGCAGTCCTAAATCTCTTCCTTAAACCCTACATAACAACCAGAGAAAAACTAAATTTCAATTAAAATCATCAAGTCTCATCCTACTAACTACACTTTTGCTTTCCAACTGCAACTAAATTCCACAGAATTTGATTTTTTTTTTTTAAGAAAAAAGATTAAGGTAAGAAGCGTAGACAGGAAAAGAGGATGGTCGACGAGAACAGGCAGGTGACAATACCTCGTCGACGTACTCGTCGAGAGTAGGGTGAACGAATGTCTGGGCGAAGAGCACACATGGCTCGGGTCGACCCATATTCATATTTTACGGCGTCCTTTTCCCCTTAATCTCCTCTTCTGCTTCTCGCTCTCCAGATATACAACGACTGGAATTGAAATATATATACGCTGATTCTGCAATTGCTTGGGCGAGTGGGTGGGCGGGCGGAAAGGAACTGGGCTGAGATCGAAGTGTTTAGTTTGACCGAATGATGACCCGTCACCCCCTGGAAAATCAAGATTCGGAGCGAACTTAGCGGGCGGAATTGGGGGTTAATATTTTACTATGAGGTTTTAGAAGGGGTGAATGAGGTAGCTCTAAAGAGTCTTTTCTTTTTAGGTTCGTCGGCCCAATGATCCATGATACGGGAACATAGGTACTAGAAATTAGGATCGGGTCTTTTTTTTTTTTTTGGGAACGAAGTTGGGTTCTTGTCTTTCTTTTTGGCATGTTGTTTAATCTCCATTTCAACAAATATAAGTCGTTTAACGCAGTTTTTCTTTGAGTAGAAGCCTTGCCATGTTTTCATAAAAAAAAATACAATCAGTTTCATTTTGTTTCCTAGTACAATATGGCCATTTTTATTTGATGAACCAGTTTCATAGCGCTTTAAACTTCAAATTTTTATAGTTATAATAATATAGTTTTCAAATTTTATTGGTGAAACAGTTTAAAATTTGCATATACATAGTTGACAATGTTAATCATTTTTGTAACTCGTCAACATTTATTCTAGGGTTGTTCATGTTAGTTAGTGAATATTAAAGAATAACTCATTCAACACAAATATAAACAATTGTAAATATAAATTAGCGAATTAACTCTATTATTCAACAGTGGTATAACTAGTATATGTTGCTGTGTCTAAAAATTCCATAAAAACATTGAAACTTAAAGGAACACCTTAATTTCATGCATCTATGTATCATTATTCTGATCAACATTTTTTTTTTTGGTCTAACATGAATAATCTACTTTACTCCTATATATGGGGAAAGGGAAGTCCAACTAGATTTGTATATGAAACTCCAGGTGGGCTCCAAAATCAGATAATTGCATTACTGCATTTTCTTGATTTTTTAACGCAAAGAAGCACCATGCTAGTTAAACCTATATATAATATATTATGTGTAACTTGTAAGGATGTCGTTGGACTTTGGACTTAGACATTAAACTTAAGTATGGCCAAAAATGCAAAACTTTTAACGGTCAAGATCAGTCCATCTGAGCTCGATTTGATCTCGATAGTTGATGGCAATGAAAGCAAGTGCCTGAAGGGGAGTAGTTGGGTGGCACGGGAGTAGGAGAAAAATCCCCTCTCTTGGCCTTAAAATGGGATGTTCTCCAGCCCTATCCCAACAATGTTAAATTAAAATATATATATATATATAACCCAATTATCTATTTATAATAAACTATTATCTAATATCTATTCACAATAACACTAATCCACTAAGACACAAAATAGAAAACCATAAAGTCGTTCTCATTCTCAACCTTTTTATCATGTGAATTACCATATCCGAGGTTGATGAAGAGAAAATGTTCTGAAGTTGTTTAGTGCTTTGAGTTTGTTCAACATGAGAAATTAACTTGACTTGAGCTTGTTCAAAGTGGAAATATAATTTGACTTCTTGTATTTTTATTTTCCATCTTGATAGTTTCTTAATCTTATTTAGTTTTGTCTAGGATTGAATGTTCTGAAGCTCAACATGTCTTTGTTCAATGTTCTGAGTAGAATGACAGTTATTCCGAGGATGTTTAGATTGTTAAATGTTGCAGCACATTTAATTGTTTCTTTAAAGTTATTGTTGATTGAGCATCTCTTTGTTGAGTTTCATGTCTACAATCTATTAGTTGTTTCTTTAAAAACTTGGGTGAGATCAACCCGAGTTTTGATGCACATTTCTCGATCGTCAAACCTGCCGACCTCTACAGTTGCACTGCCAAAAAGCACCCTGGGTGGCTCATCCAATGGAAAGCTCCTTAAGACGTGACTTCCCCAATATGTCCATCTTAAGTATTTTGGTAAACACCATTTTCTATACCAACTAGATTTCCATCTCTAGGGTGCCAATTCGAATAAGGTACGAAACAACCCCTTGAGATATCCATGTTTGACAACAAAACGCACGATGAAGAACTTAAAGTTGCCCTGTAAAGCCTGTAAAAAAGATGTGGACTAACGATTATTTGATGCTTCTATTGACCAACCTCACATCATCCAATTACAGTAGGTCATTTTGTTATTGTGCCATCCCCAAAGGTCGTAAATCTTCTCCTAAAGCCTTACAAGTAAAAGATACAACAGGTTTTCATTTATCCTACGTGTATCTGCACATAGAATTATATCCATCAAGCATCCGTCGCATTGAAGAACATGAAAAACTAGTATCGGACATTTTGATTATGTAGCAACTCCACAACGGCGGCAACTACTCCCTGTCCTTCGGAGGATATGTCTAGCCCAGGCTCCTCAATCTTCCTGTTCAGAAGCTGTCAAGTTCCCCACGTAATTTCTGCAAAATCGTGCCAGATAATCAATCTTCATCAGCGTCAAGTTGAATAATAAGTAACCGTATTAAACACTTAAAAATGAAGGAGACCAATCAGGCAATTAATAAATAAACTGCAAAGAAGACAGGTTATTAAAGTCGGCAATACCCTTATCAAGTCTAATATGCTCTCTGATGCAGAAAAGTGAAGATATCCCCCAAGCATTTCAATTCCATTTCCACTTTTGCTTGGAATGAGGCTGCCACCAAACATTAGTAGAGCATAATCTGATATGTTTGTTGAGTCTCTCATGTAAATGCTGGTGGTTTTGACCTTTTCACTGTAAACCATGTAAGGAAGAGGAAAAAGATGAACACCAGCATTTACAGATGCAGGGTGAATATCAACTTTTCCAACTTCTTTAGTGTAAAGAGCTGTCCTCTTCCCTCTTCGTTTGCATTGCACCACATTTGGATAGAGCCCAGCACAGAGGATTGCACATACCATTTCCAAATCATCACTGTATTTATTATAAGCCTGCAAAAATGGAAGTGCCAAATAAGTATCAAAATGGACTCGTCTCAATAGTTCATTGCTTCTGTGGTCAAATAAGAGTTGCTACCATATACATTACCCCTCACCTTAAAACAAACAAGAAGGCAGCAAATGATAGAGCAAAAAAGGAATGTGAAGTAAAGGAGACACTTCCACTATTCAAGAACTTCTAATCTCACTCCACTTGAGGTATGTTGTTCTCACATCATCTCAGACAATTCCAATCATGAGATTTACATGCATGCATATTGAGATGGACAAACAAGCACCTATCTTGAGAGGGAGAAGATATGGAAAATCACAAAATCACCACTTACATTGGCGCCATGTGATTTATCAACAAAACCGATGTCTGATAGAAGATCTAGAAACTGTTTCCTCATATCATCCATCATTTGTAGGGTCACCATTGACAAGAAATTCTCCCAGCAGAAAGCCCTTTCAGCCCCATTGCGTTTAGCAGCCTTCCATCCTTCAAATGCTTTGAGAAGTGCAATGTGGTCGCTTCACCAATTGAAAAGAAATTCTCACATGATTTTTATATTTATATATGTTGACTACATGAGTAGGCTAAATAATAAAGCATAAATACTCTTTCAAACCTGACCTGCAGGAATCACCAGCAAAAGATCTTTTCGCTGCATCAGCTTCATCTTTCCTATTAATTGGAAGGACAAATGGGTCACGATATGCAAGAGCAGCAGCAATTGTTAATGCTGGATTAAGGCACTGGAATATGGAACCCATGAGAAGCATCTTTCCGATATTTGGGTCCAAGGGCAGCGTGCAGAGATGACGTCCTAAAGATAATAATTACGTTAAGTCTCAAAAATTGAGAAACAGTAGGAGATTAAATTCCAAAAAGATACCAAGTGGAGTAAGCTCTTCAAAGTCATCCAAAGCTCCAATTGTCTTCAGAAGTTCAATGGCATTCTGAACAGCAAGGGATCTGGAGGCTGAAGTGCCTTGGCCAAAAATGAACTAATATCTCCTTGGCCCAAGCTCTTGATATGAAGACATAGCTCTTGCAAAGGTGTTCGAAGTATTTCAGGAAGTTGATACTGAGGCATAGCATCAAAAATTAATTTCGGATATAATCTGTAACAGAGTCCAGGTTGAACACGTCCGGCACGCCCACGTCTCTGTAATGGCCACAATAATGACATATAGGGAAAATATCAAATAACTTGAAAAGGGTTCAAGCGCCCCCAATCCATAAAGAAACTTGAATAATAGTTATTGACCTTAGAAAGAACAAGATGTATAAATTTACAGCATAAGAATGTACACCTGATGCGCTGAAGCTTTTGAAATCCAGGAAGGGAGGAGACAAGCCAATTTGTTAAGAGCATCATAACTGGTCTCCTTTGCCTTTCCACAGTCTATAACATATATGACATCATCTATAGTGATACTACTCTCAGCTATGTTAGTTGCCAGCACAATTTTCCTGCAAAAATTAACAGAAGCGACTTGCATTTAAAACAGATATTACACCCTGTACAGTTAAACTTGTTCAATCCCTGGAGCTAGAATTTGTATTCTAAGAACTTTGAGGGCACAAAAATGTGCTAGAATATCATAGTAGTGCTAGGCAAATGTAAATACTTACAAGAAGTCACCAAACTAGGACAACAATAGCAATTGTAGAAGAGGAAATACTCAACGTATGTATGTTACATTGATTATTAGTTCTTGAGAGGAAAGATAGACCAATGTGGAGTGACTCAATCAAACCAACTCTAGTAAACCCACAAAGTAATGAAAAAGGAATGAACTTGAGGTCCCAGCTCAAAGAAGTAAACTCACAACAAAAGACGTTAAATCCACTCATCAATGTCATTCCATAAAGTGTGCATTGGGGAAAAACAAATAACCCAAAGGAGGGTGGGCATGCAAAAACATATCTTGTCAAACAGCCAAAACTTATTCAGCATAAAACATCTCACCCATGCCCTGATTTAACTGAGAGAAAAAGGGTCGAGAAGAATTAACAAGGAAAGTAGATGGATTAGATGCTACCTCATACTAGGAGGTGGCGATCAAAAATTTCACGTTGATTGATAGTAGGCATTGAACCATGAACAGGAAGGACTAAAAACTTGCGAGAATCCCCAAGAAAGTTGTTTGCTTTCACTTTATCAAGCAGCTTAGAAATATCATCCCAACCAGTGAGGAACACAAGAATTGCACCATCACCTTCATGGCGACAAATATATTCTATAGTAGCTTCTACCTTCAAAAAAGTATAGCACATGTTGGATTTATTAAATTAAAGAATTCTCAGTTCAGAGTTGTGAAGAGTAAAAGACAGCAACTAAAACGCAACCAAAAGATGACAGCAAATACTGCTAGCATATTTGACAGAAATTACTTCACACATTCATTCATTATCACAATACTTGGAAAAAAATTTAATCTGGAATCCCTTTGTTCATGTTTTCATTATTCATTTGGAGCCATAGTGTTGACTATTCACTTTGCCACGGTTCTGACAAAATATTCATGGTTATGGCCACAACATGGAATCATGTAAATTCTGAGGAAAACATGTAGAGAAACATGCCAATTGTAACAAAACGACCCGATAAATATGAAGAAAAAAAATTCCAAATTCCCATCATAACTTGTAAGCAAATTGTATTATAATTAAAAAAAATCCCGTGGCGCTGGAAGAAGGTGCACAAGATATTTCAGAGAATGATCAATGTTACGTACAAGACCTAGATCAAGCTTTGCCCCAGACCAAGCTTCAAGAGATTGTCTTGTTCCAGCACTGTAGCTTTTGTACTGAGTATTAATATCTGCATCCTACACAAAACAGCATTCACAGGTGAATGCCCATACACAAGAAGTTTTCAAAACATGTAGTGGAAATAAAACCAACAGAAACCATAGCATAAATATCCTGTAATCCACATTGTTTTTTTGTCCCTTTTGTGGTTTGTCGTGCCAGTTGATGTTCTCTGACACAACAAACGAGCTCAGATGTTCTTTTACATAATCAAAACATTTACCGATTCTACTGCATGAGTTTCAGCATCTAATGTAGCAGAACTTCGCTCCTCAGGCATGCAATTTTTGTCTCAGAATGAAGTATAACTACAAAGCAGTATAAGTGGAGAGCTAAATAACTGCTGAATATCCATAGACAAGCATATCAATGTATTATTTCACAACTGCTCTAAAATCCTGGACGGTACTTAAGGAGTTGACTATATAAAGCAACAACAGACTCCTATATTATATGGCATGCTATGTGATGCTCCTGTTTCATATGAAAGACTTTGAAGAAGTGAAAGCTCTGCTTATGACCTAAAACCTTTAGAACCAGCACAAAATTCATATTATGTTACATCATGAAGATAGACAATCATTTTCATCATCAGAAAGAGCAAAAAGTAAATAATCTGGATGAACAGCCATGCCTCAAATAATTCTGTTAAAGGATCTCTCTTAAATTCTTGTTGTTGCCGCCGCCTTCCTCTGGGATTTCCAGGAATGTTGTCAGATTCTGACTTAATACGGTAGCGAGTTCTCTCTAATACGTCTTCCAAAAATAGTTCTGCCACAGGAAACACCAATCCCTGACAAATGATTATGAAAAAGGAATTCAAGAAAAAGTGGATTTTCCCGGGGGGGAATATATATATATATATAGAGAGAGAGTGCAAATAAATTACTGGGATATGGATTGTTGGTGCATTTCCAAAATATCTAGAAAATAGATCAGCATTAATTGTAGCACTCATTAAAATAAGCCGTAGATCAGGCCGACGAGGAAGTAGGTCCCTTAATATTATTAGAAGAAAATCTTCATTCATGCCTCTTTCATGGATCTCATCTACCAGTAAATGGCTAACTCCTTAAGATAAGGGTCCTGAACCTGCAAATCAACAGATAACGAATTATGGTTGCAGTTTTGAGGTTTCTGTGGGCTGAGATCTTCTAATAGCATACTAAAGTATGCAGAATCATGATAAGTTAGGAGGATATCAATTACAATTTTCTTATCGTATTTTATAAGGTTGGATTCCATCACACACCAGAGTTCAGAAAATCTAACAGTTAAAGGAAGCAGATATGCAGGTAGTATGGAAATCAAGCACGTGATAGAGAAACCCCCCCCCCCTTTTGTTGGTACAGAATAGCAGACCAAATGAAGACCATGAACAAAATCATCAGCATTTAAAAGAATAAAACTGTATTACCAATTGCCTAAGTAGTACTCCTGTGGTGCAAAATAACAATCTTGTCTGAGCAGAACGATTTGCCTCCAGTCGGATCTGGTAGCCTACAGTTTCACCAAGGTTATCCCCCCTTTCAGAGGATATTCGAGCAGCAACTGATATTGCAGAAATGCGACGGGGTTGCGTGCACATTATGTTGCAATTTGCACCACGTTGAGATGAAACCTCTTCCTCCAAAATAAACTGAGGAAGCTGGGTTGTCTTGCCACAACCTGTTTCCCCAGAGACAACCAATACCTATTATCCAAAAATACAAACACTAGTATCAAATAGATGAAAAAGAGCAGTGTTTGAGTCTAGCATGAAGGTTTCAACTTGAGCAATATAACAAAATAGGGTGTACAAGCATGCCGATGAATTTTAAGACACTAATATCTCATAATTCCACAAAAACAAGAAAAATATACTCAGAAAGGAACACACCTGATTTAATGCAATGGCCTTCAAGAACTCATGTTTTACTTTAAATGCAGGAAGCTTCTCCCTGAATGAGAGCATTGCCTTCACACTCTCACTCTCCTACAAAATCAAATAGTCAATACACACACACATATATAAACAGTTAACAATATTCAAAATATTCCTACAAGCTAAATGATCCAGCTCTCAGCAAGAAAATAATACCCTTAGCTCTTCTTGCCTCCGTTTAAGTTCAAGACTAAGTTTCTCGTTGGAAGCATCAGTCTCAGACATATGTGGAGGCTTTGCCAACTCTAAAACATTAGATGATCCTTTTGGCGTATGAGAGGATGTAGAAGAGGACTTATCAACAGGTATTCCAACTTGTGAATCATTCAATAATTGTCCAACTTTTGTCTCAATCTCGCTAGACATCCGTATCTGCAATTGCGTTATAATATGTAATTACAAAAGAAACATGATTAAAGTCTGCAAAACACATATATGATGTTTTACCTCCTGCTTCGTTGATCCGTGATGCTCATCTAAATCAGCCCTGTAGTTTGGCAATGGAACTTTGCTGACAACAAGTGCTCTTCCCTTATTATAAGCATGGCTTTCTTTCCAAAAGTACGAAGCATAAAACAGAAGTGTAAGAAATGCATGAATATAATCTTCAGGTAGATGTACACTGATACCAACAATAAAAATAACCATATGTAAACAAGCTTTTACCAAAATAACCAATACTAAAGCACAGCTTATCAGCAAATTTAGCATTTATATGAAATTTTATCAGCCAGCTCATGAACAAGCAAAGCAACCATAAGAAACTATTATTAACACCATATCTGGTTGGGCACTTTTCATTTGGACTGACTTGTATGTCTACTCACTTTTTTCTGTCCTTTCCATTGTTCCACCAACTCCTGTTCCTCATTTAATCCCAAACCCCCGCTTGAAGGTTATGCATATGTGTCTGTGAACATTTACTAACCAAGATTACTTTGGCCAATAATCCTGAACTCAACAGAGCATACTTCTAAAAAGAACTTACAAGTAGAGCCCCAACTGATAGGCCATATCAGCCATTATTTCTTGGTCCTCTCTTCTAAATTTACGCTTTATAACCATCTCCTGTTCTCTCCTCTCTTCATTTGCTCCATCTTTCCCCACCACTCATTCTCGTCCATCACCTCCATCTGCAGACAATCATGACAAAAGAAACGTCACCTAACTTCCAGAAACGGCAATTATACATATCTCCCCAATCTGTCTGGGTGTGTACAATGGTAAATATTAATAAGTATATACACGCTAATACTGTACATTGGGTAATGTCACAATAGGACCAACAGCTCAATGTCAAATATAGTTTTGGCAAAAACATTATTGAGAATCATCCTCTGTAAAAATTGCTATCAGTTAAAAACGACTTATGAAGACCATAAGAGGTTCAAGCTTTAATTAGTAAAAATAGATTAATTTTGCTTAGCTATTGGCATAAGGATTGAAATAAGTACCACTGTTTCTAAACTGTGACAAGATAAGAAAAAGAACACAAGGAAAGATTCACAAGGCATAGACATTAGAAGCTGACTCATCACATGAACCTAAATTGAGCTAAATGGAGAAAATTGATTCAATTATTTTACCTTCCCTGTCAGGCTGAGTTGAACATTTATGTCTATTGGTCCAAAACAGAAGGATAACATTATCAATCAGTTCAATTTAAAAGAGTCTCAGATAATGCACACAAAATATTCATAAGGAAAAACCCAAAATTGAAATTCAAGCACCAAAATATAACAATTTGACACACACTGACAGAATCAGGCAAAACATATCATTTGAGTGATAATTCTCTAGTCCAGATGAGTACATAGTTGAGCCTGGGAACGTCTTTTGCAAGAATAAATGAATCATACCACTTTAGTTATAAGGATGCAGATTCCAACTAGCTTGGATCACAATTATATACGTGCAACTAGCAAAAATAACAAGTTTTCTACGGATTTAAATCACCAAGCAAAGTAAAGAATCGAGTCCACTTCGATATACTAAGCTTATGCCATGATAGTAGGATTGAAGCCCATGCGGAGATATTCTCTATTACTACCTCAGCCGCTTGTTGTCGGAGTCGTTCGGCTCTCCAAACGGGGTCCCACCAGCGCTGTTCACCACCACGTCCGCCTCGACCACCGCCACCTCTCCCTCGTCCACCACCACGCTGCCCTCCGCCGCCACGACGACCTCCTTGGTGATTCGGGCGATATGACATGGCGAGGGATGAGATTCGAGCGGTACTGAATGCTAACGTCGCAGTAGGCGGTGCGATGGATGAGGGGAACTTGCGAAAGAGGAGTCCGAGAAAAGAACGGTTGCGGAAACCCACTGACATAAATAAGTGCAGCTAGGCTGGGTTGCACTATTCTTTTTTTACTACAACTAGCGGCATTTGGGTTTTGGGGGATTGGGAGTTTGGGACCGGTTCTTCGAGGCGAAGCGTGAAATGTTGTCGCGAATTAAGCCGTTCAGTTTCCGCTTCGCTTCAGGAGTCCATCCATAGTTGTATCGCTCCTAACTCTATTTATTTATTTGTTTGTTTTGATAAACTGCGCTTCTTTTTTTTTTTTGTGGGATTACTGAAAATATTTATGATTGATACACGTGTCTGCTCTTTTCATATTTTCAAAAAGTAAATAAATAAATAAGTTTTTTACACCCTGTTTAACAGCCTTTTAAATCACCCCTAAATTCTTTTTGGGAGAGTGCGTATGCTTTTAAAACTATTCGAAAAATTAAAATCGAAACATATATTACTCTATATGTACTCAACATCAATCACAAAATTATGGCTGGTTTGGAGTGAAAAACAAAAAAGGCTTATGCATCATCACAGGTTGGTATAATTAGTAATTAGTTAATATTCAATTTTAAGTTTTTCTAAATTCTATGATGTAACTTCACTAATCAAATGAACCAACTAAACATTCTTAATTTTTAAATTCATCTTATAAGTTTTGTCTGACAAGTGCAATCAACGAACCCATCAGATATTTGTCTATTATTTAATTTCAGTCAACGCGAATTATATTAAAAGTTGTGGATTTACTATATAGTTTATTAAATAATTATTGATCTACAATACGATTTTTCTTAATCAATTTGAATGCTAAGAGCGATTTAAAAAGGGTTCAATTTAGATCCTACCTTTGTGCACTTAGTTGAATTCCCTTCTCCGTGGGTGTGATAATAGTATAGGTTTTTGTTTTTTATAACTCTTGAACACGGTCTTTTTTTTGCGTGAGATTCCTAGTTTTGACTATCAAAATACCCATCGTCTCTCTTGTAAGGGTATTTTTTCTTGTAAGGGTATTATATTATGGTTTTGCAGTTTCTATAAAACGGGCACGTGACGTACCTCGGGAAATAAAAATAAAAAAGGCATACTAGATGGGCCTTTGTACAACGGTAGGCGCAGGTGGCAAGGTTGGGCGGGGAGGTTCAAGAATGTGAAAATTACTTATGGAGTGGTTCGTAGATTTTGCCACAACATCTAACCCTCAGGCCCATTTTAAATCGGCTCTAGGAATTGGTTCTGCTGCAGCTTATCACAGCCTGCATTCGTTTCGTCTTCCTCTAATTTTCTCTTCCCCCAACTTCGTCGTCACTGCAAATCGTCAGAACTTGAGATTCAACGTTCCAGATTCAAAATTATAGCCGAAAAACCAAACTCGCAGAGTTCGTGTGCTCGACTCATATCGGCTATTGTTCATTGACTCGGCAAAGATGGTAGATCCGGCGAGCTCAAATCTTGGAAGAATGCTAACAGACGAGATTACTCCTGTGATTATGGTCCTTCGAACCCCTCTCGTTGAGGAGACTTCTCAGAAAAATGGCCTATCATTCATTGAAATGCTCAGTCCATTCTGCGCGTTCAACAACATCGACGGTTTGTTTGGGAAATTAATAAGAATAGCTTAATTGAATTCTGGGTTTTGCTTTCTTAATGTGATGAAACCTTTTTCGGTGGTGTCAATTTTCTGGTTGCAGTTCCGGTGAGGACCGCGAGTGATCAGCCGTACAGGCTACAGAAATTTAAGCTGGCGTTTGTTTTACGCATCCGACATTGCTCAACGCGAATGTAGAGGTAAGCGTGTTTTTCCACGTTTAGTCTTTAGTGCTAGGATAAAAGGCTATTTAGGCAACTGGAGATTTTGCCTAATTTGGTCAACACAATATGGCTGTGGCTATACGAAAATTTCATTGTCGGTCTAACAAAGTTTACTGGTTTGCCTTAGAAAAGAAAACAAAAAAAAAAGGGAAGAAATTTTACTGGTTTAGACGCAGTGTATTGGTTGAATACTGTTATCATTAGTTGTAATGTGGGGTTGGGTCAAATCATCAAAAGGTTGAATCCTGAATACATTGCATAACATAACATACTGCGGTAAGAAGAGATGAGCTTGGAGTTGAAGACCCTGGTGCCATAGTTAAGTAATGTCAATATGGATTAGTAACTAGAGTGTTAACCAGTATAATCTGGGCAGCATAGTCAAGGTTCAAGCCTTTATGGTGAATGATGACTGTAGTTAGCATTCCTGGTTCTTATTCAAATTTGTTGACAGGCCCTTCAGAAAAAAAATTCATTTTCTTTTGCATATTGTCCAAGCAAAAAGCTTTTTCGTTATTTATGGTCTCTATTGTTGGCTTTATGTTGATTGTGAAATAATATTTGACTAACAGTATTTTTCAACTGTGATTGCTTTGTACATGAATGTTTCAACTAAATCCTCACATAGCAATAAGAATTGATGATTGGTTGGGAAAGCAGCATGCCTTCTTTGCTGATCACTTGACTGCTTCAAGTTTACCTCTTGCATGTACATGCTATCTCATTGACATAGAGTTAGTTCTCACTTCCCTTTCATGATCAGCTACTCTGCCTGCTTATATTTCCTTTCAAAAATCAATGTTGCTCACCAGGTTGCCAAAGAGCGCATAAAACAAGTAATAACTTGTGCTGGAGAAAAAGATTTCCTGACTGTGTCTACAGACCATCTGCTGAATGAGACAGCACTACCAAGTAAGTTTATGCCCGTTCAGAAAATATGAAACACAAGAAATTTCTTTCCCCCTTTCTGCTTTCAAGCAGTAGTACCGTGGATCTTGTCCATTAGGAAATGATGTATTAGAGTCAATTTCACTATGCTCCTTCTTTGAGCAGAGGTTTCAGCAAACTTGTGAAGGTTTTAAGTTTTGCAAATCCAATCCATGCGCTGAATTTGATCTTCGTATTCTTCTCATGCACCATTATCACTTGAAATGTTTTACTTAAAGCATTTCATTGCTTGGTGGAATCTTTCAATATTGCTTACCTAAAAATCTTAGTGGAATCTATAGTGCATTTTAGACTAATTGCTAACATGTAATTTCTGTGCAGCTGCACAACATAAAGTTCCACCATCTTGGTTTGAATTTTTAACCGAGAGCTAGTACGCACAGTTTCTTTTGCTGAGCACGAGGCTTTTGACCATCCAGTGGCATGTAAGATTTTGTTCCTCTCTCTCTCTCTCTCCCCCAACCCCTGGAAAAGAAAAGGTAATAAATGAAGTTGAAGAGTCCTGAATTGCTTCTAGTATTTTAGTGGGCTAATTCTGCTGCTTGACAGTACACCTTTCTGCATTCTATCTGATTGTAAGATAGGTCTTTTGGCTGTTTCCTCGATGGATGAAGACCCTATCGACAAATTTGTGGATCTTTTTAATACCAACCAGTTGCCATCTCTTATTAATGATGGTGCAATGGACCAAAGATTCTTAAGCATTTTGTATTGGTGCATGATAACCAAGATGGCATGTTAGAGAGGTAATATTTACATCAATTCAAATATATTAATTTTTGAAGTTACTGTTAGATAGTAGCTTGGTACATGGATATGGTCTAATATCTCTACATCTTAAGATTAGGTCAATGATTAAGAGTCGGATCAAATTAGTACTGTGATGAAGTTTTGGCCATCAAACTAGTAAAGTACTGACACTCTAGTCAATTCTAACAATCAAGTCCAACCAAGCAGCATGGCACCTATCTTGACAAAATTGAAATTGGGAAAAAAAGGATAGCAGCCTTCCTTCCTTCCTTTTTGTTCTGTTCTTTTTCATTTTTTTTTCTGCCTTTGGACAATCACCCTTTGTTG